ACTGAGCTATCGCGGGTGTTTGCCTGTGTATTGAAACAGGATGACTTCAATGCTTCTGTATCTAAAACAAAAAATTATAAGTAACATGTATATCAAAGGCAAGATATTTGGATCTAATTAGATACACAATTAGATTTGTTGTGTGTACCTTAGTGTCGTCATCGTTATCATCATCTTCATTATTTTCTTTGTCAGCGCACATAAAATCTGTTGAAAATGACCTTCCTGTTCTTTAATTCCTTTCTCTAGGAACAGCTTTTAGTCCCACTCTATTCTTTTAAGCATTCATTTTTACTCATTCTTTTGAACATATATTTTCTTCTTCTGTGACCTGTACGTGAATCTAAAGGTGGGCACCATATAATAATTCAATTCACACAAAAAACGTTTGTAAACGATTTGAATCGATACTTTCTCCAGATAAAAGTTCTCCGATTCATCAGGTATCGATGTATTTATAGTTCTAACATTTTTCGTTGCATCATTTACATATGAAAACAACGACTTTCTCTCTTTAGATGCTATATGTTTCTGTCGATCCCTGAGTGTGACTTCTGTAACATTTCGTCTACCTGACGAGTGCAAAACGTAAATTATATTGATCATACTCAGGCTTTTTTGCTTTTTCCAGTCGTGTTATCACAAGTTGTTTCAAGTTATCTCATAAAGAAACAAACGAAGTGGTTCTATAAGTTTTCACAGCGAAAAACCCCTACTTTTATTGTAAAAAACTTTCTTGAATAAAATAGCAAGCTGACGGAATCTCAATGAAAGATTCAGAACGAGCACTGTCGAATCCGTAAGTGCGATTTGCGCTAGTATTGTACGGTGTGAGTGAAAATTTCGAAAAACTAAACTTGAATGAGATTTTTTTTCCGTTTTTAGGCTATATAATGCTAACAATCGTCATTTAGGAGAAAAAAGTTTTCCCGACTGTCAGTCTCACTATTCTCTTAAAATTCAACTTCTTCTTTAACATAGCTACTATCCGCTCGAAAAAGCAAGGCCGGTCATTATCGTTTGAATAACGCAAAGCGAATAAAAGATAAAGACTTGTGGTTCTCACCATTTGATGGCCACGACTTGAAGTTACCTTTTCATAAGCAAAGACGAAATTTTTCTGAAGCCGGCTTTCTAGAGTGTCTTTGAAAAACTGGTTCTGCCTTCTGAAAACTGACATATAAAATTATAGCCCTTTTCTCATAGATATATAGTCCAAGGTGTCCTCTGCAAAAGTAAGTATAAGCGATATCTTGAAAATCCATGATTTGGTAGCTGTGGACCTTTTTCCTGAAGCCTTAGAACTCCTCTGCCATTAAGTATGGGACTGTCAGAAAGGAATGAAAACATAGGCTATCGATTATGCTGGATCTCATGGTAATGTTAGTTTTCAGAACGACAAAACTCAAGAACCGAGTGAAAACCTATACTAGGTGATATAACCCATTTCTGATTATTTTCGTCAAAAATTAAAAAATTCATAACTCAGTCAAAATCCATCCAACCTACTTCAGAATGCCAGGAAATACCTCATTTTATCCGCTCATTCTAATTCTGTACGTAAAATCAATAAAAATGTCTTTTATACTCAATTCTCATTTATGTTTTTGAAGTTGAATAAAAATACTAATGCTCTAATAATTCTAAAAACTTTTCTTTGTTTGGGTTTATAATAAAAATTTACTTTCATTCGAAAAAGAAAAAAACAACACTTTCTGCTTTTGTGAGATAATTATGTATGTTCATATTTACAAGATATCAAATCATAGAAGGTATTCAGGCTTTCTGCATATTTATATGAGGTTGAATTAGATATTTATTACAAAATTTTTATAAAAATACTTTGTAACAATAAAGAAACAAGAACTGCATTATCTAGCGGTATAAAAGCACTTCAAAAAAATTAATAAACAAAAGAAAAATAACTTTGTTGCTGTTCATCATCATTTTCATAGCCTTGATTTTGTTGTTCTTCTGTTTGTCGTTGAACTTGTAATGATACTACACGACTTCTTTTTATTCCACGTTTTATGAGTGAACTTTTGGCTAAATTGAATTTCATATGACATAGAGAATCACGAAAGGTACTTTGTCGAGGCCACACTTCAGTGTAGGTTAACTTGTGTAAATGGGCAATTCCAGCTAAAAAACGATATATACAAAATAATGTGCAAGAAATACATACAGAAAATCAATTAGAACACACCAAGATCATGAAGCACATTTTCTGCAAGTGCGTCTAAAATGTCAATCGCATCATTGTCTTCTATGTTCATATTTAATGTACGTACAAGTTTATTCTAAATGAAACAAACAATTCGAGAATCCTGCTTTTTGTATTCCTGAGAATAATATCAATAGTAACCTCTTTGTATTATGTCATAGGACAAAGAAAAACAAGTACCTATAAAAGTTAAAATGCGGTTCTGTAAATTCCACAAAAAAGTCAGTCACTGTCAGTAAAAATGTCTTTAATTAGCTATGGCGCGAAACGGCTAACCCATGTCATCAGAACCGCTAAAATACCACCGGTTACCGCACCATGGTCTGAAAACTAACGTGCGGTAACCGCCGGTAGAAGAAAATTTAATTGAATTTAAGAAAATTATTAAGCGCGATAAAAATTTCGAAAGTTGCAAATGCGGATTTAAAATGCTTTTCCATAGACATCCTTAGTATCAATGAATTGAAGTACATTTAACTTTAATGCATCTAAACGAGGCATCAATCATTAACTAGTCCTTACTCTTCCTTCATTTATCGCGGGTCCATTTTTCTTTGCATCAACATATTGGCTG